CTGACTTAGTTGTGTTGTGTAGAATGGAATTGAGGTTAGTGAATAATAACTGTGCACATTCCCTAATTGTTGTTGTCCCTTTTTTATATTTGGTTTTCTTTAGTTGCATAGGTTTTATGAGAATTTTTTATTTTGAGTTTGTTGTACATATGATGGTTTTTTTTAGGCAGTTGTATTGTGATTAGTTTTTTTGTGGTTGTCGTATATGTTTATTAATTTTTTGTTTGTTTAATTGCTATATTTGTTGTGTGTTTTTTTATAAGTATAGGAGATTAGTTTATAAGTATTTTGTCATTTGTTTTGTATTGATTATTGTGGGTTTGATAGAAAAAAAAGCATTCGTTACTTATGATTTTAGCTTTGTAATGTAGTGTTTTGGTCAAAATTGGATTTGAATTATTTTTGATAAAGGTTAAGAGAGTTTAGTTGTTAGCCAGAAGATTAGGTATAGTCATGTGGGCAGATAGGGGAGATGTAGATTGATCTGCATATGAGTTACTGTGTTTTTCACCATTGATGTTGCCTTCTTGAATTAACTTGGATAAATTTTCTAAGTTAAAATTTTATCTTAGTCATATTTTTCCTCTCAAAACCATCATCAATCACTTACCTTACCTATCATCCCTTTGTCAGACTCAAACGTCAAATTACATCACTTATTTTTATTACATGTCTAATCATTTATATATTTCTTTCCTAAAAAATCACATCACTTATTTTTATCATATATTTAATTATTTAATATTTGATTAATTTGTAGTTAATATATTTTCAAAAAATATAATATAGTGGGATCGATTTTTTAGACGCTAGAATTTTATATTTTATCATGCCTTCAAGCAAGGGTTATGACTATAGATAATTAAGTCTACTATTTTTTTTAAAACTCCAAAATACCTTTCTTATGAGTTAAAAATAATCTTCAATATTAAATTAATTTTCTAAATAGTTATTGTTTATTCACGATTAATAAAAATTTATTTCCTATAAAATCTAAAATTCAAATTTAAATTTAAATCTGACATCAAGCTTTTTCACAAATTTTATTCCCTCTCTTTGGCTATCTCTTCATTGGCAGACGAAAACCACCAATCACACAAATACTGACACAATTCTCTGTAAACTATCGATTCGCTTTTCCCTTATCTATGCGTACCCTTCCATGGTGGGAAGAGAATTTTGGAAAGATGATGATGAGTCAGAACTCCACAGAAGGGCGAAGATTTGCTCGCATGTTACTTAAAATGAGTAATTTGGGTCCATTACACCCTTGCCCACGAGAGAGGAGCTACCACCTCCACCTTTACACCCTTTCTCATTCCTTCTCTTCCCCTAATTCGATCTTCTTTTCTTTTGATTCGCTCTCTCTACTATCTTTCTCCCAGCTGCCTTTTGTTGCGGCTACTAGGATTCTGCCTCTTTCTATATATATATATATTTATGGGAGAGAGGGAGGAAAAGAGATTTGAACCCTTGACCAGGTGACGTCTTCGTACTATTGGATCAAAGATGGGTTTTGTGTTTTTAAATCTTTTGGTGATTTAGATTGTTAGATTTTTGGGATTTTGGAGGAGAAAGATGGAGAAGAATCGGATACAAATCTTACTTAGAAATTTTCTAAGTTAGAATTTTCTTTGTAATACAAGATAATCAAGAATGAATACAATGCCTTCAAGAGGCTTCAATTATGAATAAAGGGTATCAATTGAGGAGATTGTATAGTATAATTCTTACTAAATGCTCTTCACTTCATCCGCTTGCATTATGGAATCAATTTTCAAAACAGATATGTGATGACCTTGCACACAAGATTCGTACGATCTTTGGCATTGTGAGTCCAACACAAGATCAGATAGAAGATTATGGGTTATATCTAATGAATCAACTTCTTCATGAGTCAGGCAAGGGTCTAATTGATTTTCCGCCTATGTTGTAACCAATTGAGAACTGGAATGTAGTTGTTGGTAACATATTGTTATTTGAACATCAAAAACTCCAGAATGAAGCGCAACAAACAATTTCAGAAATTGATATTGACTGCCTTAATGATACACAACGCAATGCTTATGTTGTAATCACTTCATCCGTATTTGACAATAAGGGAAACACATTTTTCTTGAATGGGGGTCCCGGAACAGGAAAGACATTTCTATACAATACAGTTGCTACTAAATTGTGTAGTCTTGGACATGTTGTTGTCGTGGCTTCTTCCGGAATTGCATCATTATTACTTTTTGCATTTTTTTGGAAGTGCTTGAGAATTCGGTTTGTAAATTTACCAAGCAATCTATGCACACAGAGTTATTCAGAAAAACAAAACTCATAATATGAGATGACATTCCTATGCAACATAGATTTTGTGTTGAGGTAGTAGATCGTACACTCTAGGATATTTGTGACAGCAAAAAGTCATTTGGGGGTATCACAGTTGTTCTTGGTGAAGACTTTAGACAAATCTTGTCAATTATACCAAAGAGAGTTCGCGAGAAATTTGTGGGTGTTTCATTGAGGCGGTCTATGTTATGGAGGGATATACATGTTTTGACCTTAGATTTAAACATGCGTTTGAATATAACAAATGTTGAAAACACAAATTTTACAAATTTCTTAATGGAGGTAACATTTCATTGATATCCAAATTTGTGAATATATATTGAATATATTGATTTTGATTATTCACTATTTGTGTGCTTTTATTTTTAGACTGGCGCTAACCCACAAGACATTATAGAACTTCCATTAGCAATACATAAATGTAACAATCTCCACGAATTGATTTACAGTATTTTTCCACGATTAGAAGTGGTTGGTACAATGACCCCAGAATGACGATGTTAGTGCTATAAATGCCGCAGCATTGCAAATTTGCTCCTGGGAGACAGTTACATATTTAGCTGCAGACAAAATGTCAGATGCTGATGAAATTGATCGAACCATCACAAATCGATTTCCTAATAAGTATTTGAACTCTTTGAATCCTTCAAGTTTCCACCTTTCTTGTTAGAGCTGAAAGTGGGTTGTCCAATAATGTTGTTGAGGAACATTGCACCGAAAGATGATCTTTGTAATGGGACGCGATTGATGGTTGTCAGATGTGGTATGCGTGTAATTGAAACTAGAATATTAAATGGAGATAAATCTGGTAACTTGGTCTTCATTCCAAGAATATCTTTGACACCGACAACTTATGAATTGCCCTTTCAAATGACTAGACGTCAATTTCCTATCCGGTTAACATATGTTATAACAATTAATAAGTCTCAATGACAATCTGTGAAATTTGTTAGAGTTGATTTGCGAACACCAGTCTTTAGTCATGGACATCTATATGTTGCACTATCTAGATGCACATCTTCTAATCGTTTACACGTCCTTCTCCCCGAATGCACGACAAATATTGTGTACCCTGAGGTTTTGCTATAATGGTCCATATTCTACAAGGACGAAATGGTATAAATTACTTGCAAGTTTATTTCTGTTGATTGCAAATATTTTAAAATGTTATTTTATTGATCAAACATTTTATTTCATCTATAGAATTGGGATGAAGAAATGTAGGAGTTAAAAAGAATAAATGCAACCCATCTTTTTCGAGGGAATGTTTGAATAAGGTAACTAAATTTATTTGTTATAGTTTATTTTTTATTTTTAAATTTTTAATTTTAAAATCTCTGTCGCGTATTAAATTTAACTAGTTTTGTAAATGCTAGATTGTTATACATTTCCCCAGTTGGAAGATGTGGATTTGGATTGATACAATGACATTCAAGGCTGTGATGGAGAGAGAGTACTTATAATGATGTGCAGAAAATCCGCATTTTGATGAATTAGATTCAAGAATGACTCATTTTGTAAATGTACTATATATAATTATATTTTGTGATTCATATTTCACTAAACTCATGACACATGATATATGGCAAGTTAGGTTGTGTCCGAGAATAATGCTTGATTATTTTGCAAGCAAATTTAATGTTTGATTTTTTTTAGTTGTACCGTGCCTTTAGGTACGGGTTATCCCTGTGTTTCGGATTTACAATTTTTTTTTTTCTTGACATATTTCGATAATTGATTATATTTCAAATGTTTTCAGCTATACATTGAAGGATATGGAGACGAAGTTGAAGGTGTTTTTCTATTTGTGCAAGTGTGTATTTTTTGTATTATGTTTTTTGTACAGTTAACTAATTATACATGGTTATGATGGTTTTGTTTTTGTGATTTGAATACACATGGTTATGATGATTGTGGTGATATATATAATTGTAAGTTTTATAGACAGATTTAGATTTTTTTGGGTTTCTATTTTTAGATGAAATTCTGTCCAAATTTTTTGAAATTAGTAGGGATTAGCTTGATGTTTTGGTGGTTGAATATGTGTTGATGATTGGGTATGTATTGATTATTGTGGTAGTATGATGTATTATTGTAAGTTTTATAGACAGATTTAGATTTTTTTGGACTTCTATTTTTAAAAGAAACTCTGCCCAAATTTCTTGAAATTAGTAGGGATTAGTTTGATATTTTGGTGGTTGGATATGTGTTAATGATTGTGTATGTATTGATTATTGTGGTGGTATGGTAAATTATTGTAAGTTTTATAGACAGGTTTATATTTTTTTGGAGTTCTATTTTTAGAGGAAACTCTACCCAAATTTCTTGAAATTAGTAGGGATTAGCTTGATGTTTTGGTGGTTAAATATGTGTTGATGATTGTGTATGTATTGATTATTGTGGTGGTATAGTGAATTATGATGATTGTAAATTCTGTAAACAAGGTTACATTTTTATGGGTTTTTTATTTTTAGAGAAAATTTCTGAATATTTGTATGGACTACTTTGATTTCAAATTGACAAATTGTAAAGAGTCTTTAGGTAATGTAAGATTCTTCGAGTTTTAAGTTACATGATACTACCTTGATTTCGGGCAATTACTAGTAGGATTATATTAATTGTTGTCAAATTAAATAATTTTTTATTAACATGAATATTGACACGAACCCGACATATACCGAAAGTGATACGACACGAAAATAACACGAGTGAAACCAAAATACAAAACACCACCAACCAATTAACAAATCAAAGAATTTCTGTACAAAGTCCTACCTATGTACTTGGGGTTGTAGCAAAACCAAAATACAAAACACCACCTTTATGAAAAGCACAAGATGGTGGGATCTGAGAGAAATATCAGTAAGCAACCCTTTTGAGTCTGATTCCACAACTCGAATCTGCGACGTCTCGATGAAGTGAACGAATGCTTGTCAATCGTTCCAACTACAACTTCTAAAACACCACCTTTGTTCTTCTACCAAATTTTTGAACGAGAGAACACTTCATCTTCTGCCAACCTGCATGCTCTCTAGAAGTGGTTCCACAACCCCTTTTGTTTTCAACATCTTTTCGATGATGTTCTCGACTCAAATTTAATTCTCGTTCTTTCTATCCTGATTTCATCACTGTTAACTGTAGCTGATCCTACCACCGCCCTGGCTGCTTAAAACAGGAATCTTTCATGAAAGAAACCAGCTCATTTCCGAGTTAAAAATATACCTTCCCTTATTAGCTCTGCCCGTTATTTCTTGTCCTAATTTGCTCGTGAGCTTTCAACGCCGCTGAAGTGAATTCCTCCAAAGCCTTGAAAATAGGTACCAAACCTCCCTGCAAACTACTAGAAGCTGCATCATGCACTAATTTCACAGCCTCTTTGTGTCTTGCTTTCTCTTCGGCCAACCTTTCTTTTATCGAATCCAAATCTACCTTTAGATCATCCAATGGCGAAACTCCACGTTCAGATGGAACAATTGACACCCCAGTTTTTCCTGATATTGTATCCTGCTGATGTTTCATTCTTCCTCTCTCCATCTGAAGTGTTCTTAGCCGTTTCTCAAAATCCTTCGAAATGTAGTCTGCTTTCAGTCTCTGGCGCTGCTCGTCATCTTGTCTCTCCCATAAGCGTCGCAAGCTCGAAGCAAAATTACGCATTGCATTTGCCACCCCAGCTTCTGAAATTGTTTCTATAGCTTGATACCAATCGTTGCAAACTACAAAAATCAGAGGAGCTCCAATCCTGCCCGGCGAGAAGGGAACAGGTCCATCGGGGGTTTCTTCTGGCTGATAATCAAGGCACTGCAGAAGCCACCCATTTAAGGACTCAACATAGGACTTCTGAGTGTTAATCCAATCATTAAAACAGTTGCACCATCTAAGGAGCTCCATTTCGAGTTCAAGAGTAGCCCTCAAGCTAGTATCTCTTCTAGAGCCACTGTTTGCTCTCAAATTTCGAATTTTACTCTCCTTGATAGCTTGAAACTGCTTCTGGTGACACTTGAGCATGGACTTCCACATTCTTACTAGTCTGCAAATAAAAATACAAATAATCATTTCTAAAGAAAAAGGACAAGCATTCAGCATTACATGATCAATTTCGGGTGCGGTAGAGAACCTCCAGAATGATCAACATTTCAATCCCCACCTTGCCCACCCAAACACATTCCCTAGAATGGAGTTTTTTTTTTTTTTGGTGGATTTTTTTGGTTTGCCACGTGTGTTGAGGGGGGGGGGAGGTCTCTCAAATTTTTTCTTTCCCAGCACTTGAGTGCACTGCAAAGTTTCACAACCCAGAACTACAGTCACTTTTTATCCAAATATAAAGGGTGATGAAACATCTCTTAAAAAAATTATTACATAGCAAGGGATTATAACTTCCTTTTTTATTTGGACAGGATGTCCTGGGATCAGATGTCTTTTTAGTAGATGATCAACCTTCTTACCATTTACAAGAAGCCTGACGTATTTATTTTGCTTTGATATCATGCAACATATCATGGCGCAGAAATTGCTTCAAGAGGGGAAAAACCATTCACTCCCCACATTTATATGGATAAAGAAAGCCTAAGAATATAGTGACCCCACACTATAATTATAGCCACAAATATGAACTATAAGGTATTACCCCACCTAGTTAACAGGAACAGAAAAGGAAAACCAAGACAACCAGGGAATGAGGAAAAAAGGGATTCGGGGGTAACAGACAATAGCCAACATGTCTGTTGTCATCCTCTAGAATTTTTACAATAGGTGTAGGACATAAATCGGGTCAAGAATATAAAAAAAAAATGCATGAACAACATGATCTAAATTAAATTCGTACCCTTGGATCAACTCAGTGACTTGAGGCTGCAACTCCTCATCCCTCAGCTTGTGTATCCTGATTGATATAGCATCAATAGCTTTGATACAAATATTGAGTTTTGTCAACAACTTTCTAATTGAAGCCCGCGTTGCATCAAGCTTACTAGTCTCTGCTCCTCGGTCATCCAAAACCTTCAGTTTCTTGCACTTCTTTTCATAACTTACTCTAAGCCTTTCCTCATCCTAAAATCAGAGCAATGGCCTTATAAAACTAAGCAAAATTCATAGCAACTGGGCAGTATAAAGCACCCACATACAATGCAGAAAAGAATAGCTATATACATTACAATAGTGACATAGAGGCTTAAAACATCCAAGTAGACATGGGAAGGAGCACATTAATATTATGTTATGTTTACATTAGATGCACCAAATGACTACCACCAGGATTTGTTGAAGCAATTTACTATTCTTTTTAGACCAGATATGTTGGAAGCATATTGTGCCCCATAAAATTCTTTCTTTAAAAGAGCTCAGAGGGTAGTTCCTACTTAATTTGTTTTAGACAGGAGGAGGATATTGCCTTACTTTTCGTTGGCATACATGTGTGTTGCCATATCTCTTTCCACCAAGTCTTATTCATCAGAAAACTAGTTGCTAAAAGCATATAAATGACATAATTCTTGTTTACATTTTTCAAGCATCTGGATTTCTGTAAGCTGATTTTAAAAACTCCTCACATTATGCATACAGAACAATCCCACCAAAAAAAGGCTCAAATACATGATACTGTGTTGGTTTTTTGGCACATAAGTCACCATCTAAGTTGAGACCTGAGTATATGTCCATGCATCTCTCATCTTCCCTTTCTCCGGTTTTGTCACCTGCTCACTTTGGAATATTGGTGATTAATGTCAATAAATGCAACTTATCAACCATCAATACTTGGTTAATTTATTCACAGGCACCTGAATGCTAGAATTTTGATGGTCAATGACCTTCACCAATCCAAACGAAGGCAACCTTTCGATATTCACCACTCAAAACCAGCAATTAGCATTTTGATCAGCACAATGCATACCCAATAAGTTGAATAGACCATTCATAGCAGATGAAGAGATGACCTATTATTTAATCTAGCTGAATTGGCCTGTTGGTTTAAGCAAAAGTGAAGCAAGCTCTCTGCAGCTAGTTTACGAACATTTCTTGCATTTGCCTAACATTAATACGCCTGCCCTCCAACAAAAGAATAACCCCACACCCACACCCACACCCACACCCACACACACAAAATGGGGGACTCCCAAAACCTCCATCAGGTGAAAACTTCGTAATTTTCATTGCCAAAAATTGTTCAACCCATTCCCTTTCTGCACAAGATCCAATTTACTATGCCAGTAATAAATTCAAAACAAGAATAGATGACACTCTTAAAAGCAAAAAAATATATAATGGCATATTATTATAAAAAGACAAATTTCTCTTGCAAAATGCTCACAATACCTTAACTTCCTTATATAGCTTCTTCTCCCATGCATGCAGCTTCTCCAAAGTAGATGAAAGGTTAATAGGCTTCACATTAATTTCCTTCCCAGTCTCCCCATAGTAAGATTTTGCCAATTTCATTGTTCTCAAAGCCAATCCCATTGACCGCCTTGACTGAGGACGTGCAGATGACAGGGAAGGTGCTATCAGGTACAGAATTCTTGATAAGATTACTGCAGACACAAAAGTTCCAAAAATAGCAAGATCAATGCTACGGACTAATGATTCCCAGTTCTTGAGATTAAGTTAGTCCATCTAGAAATATATTACACGTATCCAAATTAACAACAATAAGTAACTCATTCGTGTATTTGACAGCTTACATTCAAATTTTGAGAGTCAGGATTATTTCCTCAAGTCTCAACTTTAGCTGCACAGGAAGTTCTCACTCTCCAATATCCCTCAGAAATAAATTTTACAAGTTATCCTTTACCAGAAACTACACCAAGAAACAAAAAACATAAATTCCCCAATTCTTATATTCGCTATTTTGGTTAATGTAAAATTGGTGTCCATATCATGGATGTCAGAAAACAAAACAGCACACAATGAGTGAAGAGACGGTGGCTAATGTAAAGTGTCACAAACTTACAAGAATGGACAGGTATACATCGGAAAAAAGGCAATGGACTCCAGACGGGTAATGTTTTGTAAAAAATATCAACAAGTTCTACAATCTATGCCATTGTTTCAATAGCAATTTCAATGCTCATGCTACCTATCTTTTTTTTTTCCCTCCTTGAACAGCCATTATACATATCTATTATTAATATACTTTGTGTGCCAGGGAAGGGGAGGACAATAAGAAACAAAAACAGCTTCATTTAGAGTGCAAAAGCTTTGTCTAGGAAAATCTGTAATGACCATCAACCATCTAGACACGAACCCATACATTCCAAAAGCACTGCAGATGTATTAACTGGTAGAATGAAGTCACATGTGGGGCAGCAGTTTAGGAACACAGTTATAAAGCATGTTTCGAATGCTTCTAAAACCCAACAAGCGAAAAATTACATGGCAAAAAAATAAACTTACTCCAAAGAGATTGATTCCTCTCAGAACTTGTAAATTTTCATTTTTATCATAGCTTTGTCCACATATCAGCTAATTAGACTTGACGATTGTAGATGTTTTTCATCTCATTCACAATCACAAAAATATCTAGGCAATGGTTATTAGGTTGATCATACGCTTACTTTTCAAACAACCTCCATAAAGGACCAATATTCCCAAATGAAATCGCATTTATTGATAATTTGCAAATATCAAGTCCCAACCTATATTGAGACAATGATAGCAATGATTCAACATCATCATTACAGGTACTTGTAACTAGACACGACTAAGAAGCATTTCAAACAACAATTCAGTAATGTTTAGCAATGCATAAGCATAGCAATAGTTAAAATAATACCTTTTGCGAACCCAGGCTGATAAGGCAGCTTGCCAACCTCAAGCATCAGTGCAACCTCCTTCCCATGACTAGAGGCAATCTCAAATTCATCCCTGATTTCACTAACAACCCCCTGAAGATCCCGAGTTCCAGGAGTGGACAATATGGTTAAACTACTAAACTTTGAGGATTCAGCATCATTCATCGATGCCTCCTCTACCTCAAAACTTACCCGCTTCTTCCTTGCTATGCCATCTTCCGTGCTCATTGATACAATTGTATCAGGACTGCTCTTTTCTTCATTCACATCAACTGATTGTGTGGACTCACTATTTTGTGGTGGTCCTGGCCTTGAATTGCCCTCACTTGGCTGAGATGGTACTGCCCTTGAACTGCCGTCACTATTTTGTGGTGGCACAGCTCTTGCTCTCTCACCTGAACTTTTCTTAACATCTTCATTCACCTTCTTCCCCTTGTAAATGTCCCCATAGGCCTTGATCTCTGTTTCTTCTTCCAAATCAGGAATACCCTCCCTTTCTCTCACTTCATTCGAATCTGGACTACTAGCAATCGACCCATACCCATATGTCCCCTGCGAATAATAACCAGTGTACCCAGTATCAAACGCATCAAACGGATTCAAAAAGTCCCAACTGGAGACCTTTGGTGACGGAGGCGGAGGAGGACCAGGTGGAGGACGTGGCTGCCGATTCTCATAAGGATCCTGAGGCGGCGGGAGCCCAAAAAATCCCCCATTCCCATAAGGATAATTCGAATATGAGGTCGAATACACATAAGATGATTCAGCAGCTGACGTCTGAGGCTCAGCCTCATGAATTACGGTACGTGCCACTGGGGCAGACTTCTTCATATAATATGCATATGAACTTGAACTCCCTCCATATTGTCCCCAGTTCTGAGACTGTGGATTCACTCCATATCCATAAGGATCCCAAGCTGTTTGAGGAGGTTGATTCATTCCATAAGGAGCCCAATCTGCATGAGGAATTGGCGAAAATTTTGGTCCTTCACCTTCTGAAGTATCATCACTATCATGTATGAGAATATGACCAGAATCCTCCGAATCAGAAGACAAATGCAAATGCGCATTATCATCCACCGAATGAACATGCGACATTGAAGAATCCGAAGACGAGCTTTTCTTATGACTTCCACCACTAAATGTATCGATATTTTTCTTCTTCGTACTCTTTCCTTCATCAGATGGCAATGTTAATACAGGGGAATCTAAAGGGGAGGCACTTTCAAGCTCTTCCTCGACGAATGTCCGAAGGGCATCGCCGACGTCCTTCAATGACCGGAAATAGGAGATGTGAGCGGCTGCCAGGGCGTACCGGTGGTCGGCGGCGGCTTTGATTAGCTCTTTTCTTTCCCTACAACGTATCACCAATGGGAAATCGTCCAGCTTAGACCCTCCACAGCCCATGTCAGTTTCAACCACCAAAGCCAAGAAAAACCCTAATTCGCTGAAATACAATAGGACTACTTCAGTCATGTCGTCACCTGTCGGTTCAAATGCATTGTGACAGAGACTTCAAATCCAGATCCAGTGTGAAGCAAGCAATTGAAATTCTAGAGAGAGAATCACACAACAAACACATAAACATGTGTGTGTATGTGTACAAATACAATTCAGCAGAATAAAGAGAAAATAACTGAGGAAATAATGCTAAAGTTTGCAAGTAAAAGACAAATTATAGAGAGAGAGAGAGAGAGATAACAGATAAATACGCAGTAAATGAAGAAGATTTAGAGAGAGAGAGAGAAGTAAATGAAGAAAAGAGTGTCAAATTTGGTAACAGGGAGGAAAATGGAGAGTGAAATCTAACCGTTGGGACTGAGATTGAGGAAATTAACTCGTTACCATCCATGCCATGGACAGAAAATCATAGGTTGAATTGTCTAAACCGGTGAACCAGAGAGGAAAGAGAGAGAGAAAGTTTTGGAATTGTTTTTGGTGATTTTGGATTGATTTCTGAGAAGAAGAGAGTTGTGTTGTTTTCCGAGTGAATGCTTTGAAATTTGGGGATGGTCTGTTTGGATTTGTAGAATTTTTGTCTTTTTTTTTTTTGTGTGAAACGGTGGTGTGGGCGGTGTCAGAGACGGAGAGTTGCAGAAGAATGGTCTGGAACGCGCCATTCGTAACGGACAAAGTCATTATTACTGTTGCCATTATTACTTTGGTACCCATACACACACACGCGGTCAATTTTTCCCCCCTCTATTATTTTTTCCTCTCTCACTTTATTGATCTAACAAATAAATCGGAGTGAATTTTGTCTCTCCGACTCCGATTTTGACTCCAACTCCGACTTATTATACCTCCGTCTCCGATTCTGCGTTATTGGAGAAGAAGCGGTGTTTCAGAGTTGTTATACCTCCGTTTCTCCGATTCCTTGTTTTATTTTATTTGTTACTTTTTGTTGGGATTTAGGCCAATTTTAGATGGAATTTTAACTATATTTTATGGGGTTTAGCTCGTACATTGTTCAGTTTTAAAAAGGGATTTTATATTTTTATATAATAATAAATTAAATAATATATAATTATTTATTAATAAAAATCAAAGTATAGTAGAAATTTTTTTTCAAAAATGATTTTTGACCCCGACTTCAATCTGAGTCCGACTTTGCCCTCCAAATCTAATTTTGACTTCGTTAATCTCCAACTCCAAAGGAGATGGTATTAGACAGAAATCAAAGTTGGCATCGGCATCAAAATTTTGGATTCTTGTACAATCCTATAAACACGAGCTCAATAAGATAAAAACAATTTGTGTGTTTAACAAAAATCAAGTAATAAAGAGTAAAAATTACAAGTTTGATAATTGTTGTAAATGTGTGAATTTAACTCCAATCATAGGTTTGAGATAACAAAACCGTTGAAAAAGTTGAACCGATATTCAAATGGAAATATAAAAGAAGTTTTACTAATTCAATAGAAAATTTGAAAACAATGAAGGTAACTTTTTCCCCACTCATAATGAAGTTTGAACAACAAAATAATATCTTTCAAAAAATTAATTATTTTTATTTTTCATCAATCCTATTAAATACAAATGAAGGAAAGTGTATTATTGCTACTTTCCTTCTTTAAATGATACAAAATTTATCTCTCTAACTCTTCATCTTTCTTACCGATCAGAACACCAGCTTAATCTTTCTAATATACTTTTTTTAGGGTTTTTTCAATTTTAAAGCACCCATTTTTTTACTTGAAATGCAGTGAGACCCACCAATTTTCTCAATAATATAGTACCCACCGTTATTTAAGAATGGATCTGATTAAAAAACAATGAGATTCATTTGAATTCATTATAATTGGCATGGTGTCTTGGGCGGAGGCAACTAAGGGCTAGTGGCATAGGCCCCACCTTGAGAATATTTTTTTTTTTTTTAACTTTATGTATTTTTGAAATTTTTTTTATTTCTTTTGAAGTGGGGCCCACACTCAATTAAAAAAAATGTCATATAGACTTAAAAAATAAATTTAAAAATTAGACATAATAATCACAACTATTGAATAGGTAGTGAGTCTCAATTAATACTGAGAATCACAGTAAAATTAATGATTATAAATATCAAATCTATTTTTTAAGTCCATGTTAAATTGCTTAAAAAAAAAAAATGACTTCCAAAAAGCGTTGTTTAGAGCTAAAGCCAAACAAATAGGGCCCTATGTCTTAGTAGTGATTTTTGTGTTAATATTATCAATTGCCATTGCCATTGCCGAGAGGACATTTTTAATAATAAAAATTATAAATACTTCAATAAATGACAGATAATTTGATTACTTATATAAAGAAGTATAACAATTCTTCGAGTTCAAATTTGAATGGTTATAATTAGCCTCAATTTTTTTTTGTAAAGAGTAATAATTAAATTTTTTTTTTTCGGGCATTGTCTATGTATACTGTTTTTTTTAACTCTTTTGTATTTAATGAATTTTTTTCTAACAAATATGATATTAAAATTACAAAACGTGTCACATTATTTTTATTTATTGAAAGAAAAAATTGAATCATGTTGATAGAGTGTATCCATCCTTAAAAAAAAATTTATGTCTCCGCCCTTGATGATATTTTGGATGAGAGAAGTTGTAGAAAAACTTTTTACCAATTCAGTTGAATATTAACAAGGTTGGGTTGGTTAGTGGTCTACTTCTATGTTCAATGAAAGTGATGTGGTTAGAAAGAAGTTGTTGACTTCAAGTAGAGGTTTGATGGAAGGCCGGTCCCATTATCTAATCCACATAAGAAAAAAAAACAAGTGTTTCGTTTGTTTTTATCTCAGTTGTAAATGTTATGTTGTGTTGTTGGGCTGATTCAGACCAACTACTCAGGCCTGAAAGTTGGATTACTTTATAGGATAATGACATTTTGTACCGTAATTTTTTTTTTAACTTATTAATTTACTAGTTGTTGTGTGTTGAAGGCATATAGTAATAAAAAATGATGAACAATAAAAATATTTGTATTTATATCTAAAATTAAATCACAAATATAGATGAGTGATAAATGAATTTAAACATTGGTTGTAATGAGGGTGAAAGATGGTGGTGGTAGGAGACGGTGATGGTTGTGGTGGGTGAAAATGATCGTGGTGGCAGTGACGGCGACGACAATGGTGGTGTTGGGGGTAGTGGTGGCGACAACGGTGGTGGTGGTGGCAGCGACAGCAGTGGTGGTGGTAGCAGTGGTTGTGGTAGAGGTACTGGTGGTGGGGGTGATAGTGGTAGAAGTACTGGTGGGACAATTTCAAACACTATTTTTTTTAAAGGTACTTATAAAAAATAATTTCTATAAGTACTTTTAAAAAATCACTTTAAACACACCTTAGGGCTCTTTTTTTCCTATTAAATTTAAGGTGTTAATATTAACCGTTAGATTAACTTTAAAATAAAACTTGAAGCGATCTGAACCACGAAAAGCAAAATTCATTTTGTTTATCTTATGATTTTTGAATCGTAAGGTACTTTATTATATAAATATTCTAGAAGGCTAATGGTTTTTAATTGTACTCTTAATCAGATAAAATTGTAATAATGTAGTCCACATACTAAATATTTATTGCCTTTTTGACAATTTTTTTTGTTGTATAATTCTTATTATCCTATTTTTATACAAAATTGTTTGTATGATATTCAATTTTAAGTTTTTTCACTGAAAAATTTATAGTCAATTTTCATAAAATAGAACATATTGCTATCATTTTTATTAATTGAGAGTATAATATAAAAAAATTTTAATTTTTTAAAATATGGATTAAAAATACAAAAATATGTTAGAGTATAAATTGTCATTTATCCAAATTTTGATGATAAGTTTACGATACCTAGATAATGCTTCTCCATTTGATGTCTAAAAACTTGTAATTGCCCTTGCTCGGAAGGCACGGAGTTTACAAAAAAATTAATATATTGTGTCAAAATTTCACATTTGCACAATAATTTAATCATGTCAAAAGAAATATCCAAACTATCTGCACTTTGAACTGAAAAAACGAAAAACTATATCATAGTCAAACATATAAAGGCTTAAACAGAAAATAAGAAAAAAATAAAAAGTTGTTTAAGGGTTAAAGTAGACAACATGCTAAAAATATAAGTCATATATCTAACATATTTGAATTGTTAGTATTACTTAGGCATCAAACATTTGTTAAAATTTATATAAGTCACCTATGTAATTCAAATCAATTTTCTAATTCACTACTAATGAAAACTATTACCCCAAAAGATATAAATTAAAGAAAATATTCCTACCCTAGAATATTAAAATAAATTTATATAAAAATGGACGATTCTTAACAACATCATCCATAATTAGAACAACAATCAATGTGTTTCATGATTACAACTAATAAGCAAATAATCAAAGTAATCGATGTCGTTATTGATGGGTTAAGCCCAAATAGTCCAGTTTATGTGTTAAAATTCCACCCCAGTTGAGGAGCCCAACCTAGTTTTGATTCCACCAAGTCCAAGACAGTCCAAGACCGGTTAGACTTTTTGCTTAGCACGTCATCAAGAGGAGAGCATGGGAAGCTTATCTGCACCACCGAAGGAAACGGTCCAATCTTTGACCACGTTTCATGAAGAGCTCCCCAACCTCCTCCTTCCGTTGAGGATAAGTCGTGATCTCCACCAAGAATAATCTCTTAGCTGCGATAAAGAAGTCTTGATGATAAGTCGTGATCTCCACAAGAATGATCTCTTAGCTGCTATAAAATAGCTCCAATCTGGTAGAAGAGGGAGATGAATGTCACGCCCCACCAAGACTTACAGAGGACGAACCGACTACCGGAGATTACTATTTCTTTGATTCTTCATTCTCTCTCTCAAAGTTTGTATCTCTATTCTCCATACATTTGAATCAATAAAATACCCGGCAACTGAAGCCATTGAAGAGTGGACGTAGGTCGAATTGACCGAACCACTATAAATTGTGTCTTCTTTAATTTTCTCTTTGATTCCATTGCATTTATTACATACATTTGACAGGTGGTGTGCACAACCATTTTTGTGCATCATTAGTTATGATCACCACCACCTAATCAATAAGCCAAGTAATTAAAGTAAATGATGTCGTGACAATCATTACCCCCTTATCAATCACCATTTCTCCAAACAACACTTTTAAAGAGAGGTTATTGGGACAAAATTGTGGCATATCTATATGGGCGAAGATAAGTTGTTTGGTTTTTGGTGCAACTTGGCTTGGTGGAGCATGACAGAGAAAATTTTGGAGGGATTTGTGGGAGTGAGTGTAGACCGAGATGAGAGAGGTCCACAGTACTGTGTTTTTTGTGGGCAGTTGGTTGGACAATTAGTTCAAGTTCGGGTTTGGGTTTGGGGTCGAGTCCAAGGTCAAGTTGAGGTCCGAGTCCAGGTCTAAGTGTAGAGTCCAAGTCTAGGTGGGGGGGTTGGGGGTTTGGGCCAGGTATAGGCTTGGAGTATGGTCTAGGTCAAGTTAAGTTAGATTTGGGTTTAGGTCTGAATTTAGGGTCAATTTCAGGTTCGGGGTCTTAGTCGAGTCCAAGTTTGGGTCTAAGGTTAGGGGTCAGGTCTGGTCTAGGGTTGAGTTTGGGTCCCGATCCAAGGTGCAAGTCTTGGTCTGGGGTCGAGTCCAAGTTAGGGTCTAGGACCGTGGTCTGGGGTCCAAGGTCATATCTAGTAGGCCTAAGGTCGAGGTCGAGTTGCGATCTGATCGGGTCTATGGTTGAGGTTGGGTCTAAATCTGGGGTTTGGTCCAAGTCGGGGCTAAGTCCAAGTCCGAGTCTAAGTGTGGGTGTGGGTGTGAGGTCTGAGTTATAGGTCAATTTTAGATCTGGTGTGTTTAGTGTGTGTATTTTAGTTTGTTATTAAAATGATCTTTAGTCAAAATTATGAAAGTGATTTTTTGCCAAAATTATGAAAGTGATCTTTACTTTTTTGAACATTAGTTAAAAAAAACTAAAGCGATTTGAACTGTGAAAAATAAAAATTATTTTTTTATATTTTGGGATTTGAAATGTATTATATTTTATTATATAAATAATTTTAATTATTTTTAATTGAAAACATAAAATAAATTCTATAATAAAATAAAAATAGGTATGTATCATTTGTTTAATAGATATTAAAAAGAAGAAATGATACTAAAAATAATTTTTTGGTACCGTACTTTGATTTCTCTTCCAATACGACTTGTGAAATTTTTTGTTGATTTTATTATTGTTTTGATCAATAATCACAACAAATTAAGATAAAATTCTCTATTAATAAATATTTTTGAATTTCAATATAGCATAAAATTAATAAAAATTAATTTTCAAATCACCACAATCGATGTGGATAGTTGTTTATGGGTTTGTATAAGTAGACAACTTGTTTATTAATTGGGCATGTTTGTTTCGTTTTTAAGAAAAAAGTGAGAGAAACACACAAAGCACCCTGCATGTGGGAACACAGCAGGTTGTCTTGTGTGACGTAAACTCTTAGAATAACACCCGTTCACCATACTGTCGGCCTAAACACAACCACAAAAACAACAAAAAGGTGAGGGTAAATTGCATTCACCTCCGTTGAGGTTTGTCCAAATAACAACTAGGCCCCCTCAGATATGGATAATAAGGTGGAGCTTTGCATGACAACTGAAATTTGAAGAACAGTCCACATACATTGTCATAGATTCCTAACTACAATTAATTTATTATATTGTACCCCTAAGTTCTTGAAAATTTGTAGAGTGGCCCAAATCTTTTTTTATTTTTTAATAAGTTAGCGGTTCACCCGCTCCCTTAATCTACAACAACATATATTTTAACCGAGTAAAACTTTTGTAAATGCCCTAACTTATATATTGACTAAAGACAATACAACAATTATTTTAGCCATTCTTTTGTTTTAAAACTAATTGTATAGTTGTCTGTAATTTTTTTGATAAGTAAGTAGCTCGTAATTTCGTAACATACGAATAGACGCAAATGGTAAAATATACTAACCCCAAACTACCAATGCCTTTCCAAAAAAATTAATTTCGTAAAAAGATTTAAAAAATTATTGAAAAATTTTATCATAAAATTGAGATTCATCAAGATCCAAGGACATTAAATATGACAAGTGAAAGGAAATTCAAATGAAGAGGGTCTGGATCACATGGCTTACATACATTATCAAAAGAAAAACAAAGCCCTCTCACTATGTATGTAATGGAACATGTTTTTTTAATAATGTGATAGATTAGATTATTAGTGGAAAACTATATTGTATTTCACGTCAAAGGCCTTTTTCCAATTAAATAGCAGAAGCTGATAAAGAAATTATTAGTCTTGATGGTGCAAGAAAACAGTGAGTCAAAGGGTTTTGAGTGTTGGATAATTATGAGTGTGTCACTTGTGAAATCAGCCACAGGGTAAAAAAAATAGATAAGACGGCGAGTGGTTCACCAAGCTGAATAGCTAACCTAATTCATTGTCAATGAAATCTCTTACTCTGGTATTTGTTGTACTCATAAGAAAAGAAGAAGAGGGTGATTATAGAGGGTTGGATCCCTTTGCAATTAGGCATCGTTTTCTATTTATACAAGAGTTGATTTTTATCTGCTTTCATGATTGTATGGTTTCCTCAATCCGTTAGAATTATTGAAAAATATTTAGCCGTTAGAAACAATCATATCTGCAACACACATGGACATGTAGAAATAGTGAGGTGATATTCTTGAGGTGGTAACTTGCCCCCAAGGTATGATACGTTTGCTGAGCTTTTCTTCTTCTTCCGGTAGCTAAATTCAAGCTGTTCATTCATAGCCGAGTTGCTTGAATACCGAGTGGCGACATGAGAGGAGTTATTTTACTCACGCTGGACTATCTAGGACATGTGAATTTAGCTGAGCTCAATAATGCTGAGCTATGATGGTTTGTGTTGAGTTGTGATGGTTTGAGCTGATGAGCTGTGATTTATGGTATCATCAAGTCTCATAACCATCACAGATTAATTCAGTTAATCACATAATCCGTCAAAACAGTCAACACTTTCTGAGAGTAAATTCTCTATAAATTTGTACTCTTATTTTATAAAATCTGCGAATTCAATTTTTTAATTCGTGAATTCACGTTCTTACTTACTTATATGTTTATTTATTATTATTTAAATTTTTATTTGAAAAGTATTGAGTTATGCCTAAAATACATATCAAATTAGAATGATATTTGTAAACTATAATTATTATTTTAGGACCTCATAATCAATATATATTTAAAAATAAAATAGTTTGTCACAGTAGTGAAAGAAATTTAACTTTTTATATTTAATTATTATAAATTTTTATAGGTGAATGCGTGTCTGTATACATATAATATAACACTTTCAAGTTGCTTCCGTTCTTATTATTTTTTTTTTTGAATTTTGCCTTTTTTGTACTCCCACTCTCGTTTTCACTCTCACTTTTGCTCTATGATCTAGCCGTCTGTCACTTCGGATACCCAGGGTTTCACTTCCTAACTGAAATAGGCACCAGTATTTTGAATGTCTTAAAAAAGCAACTAGATCGTGCTTGACATAAAGTACACATAAATGTTCGGTGGGGGAGATTGGATCTTTGAGTTCATCTATCAAAAGAGTTGGCACCCTTAGGCACAGGATCTTTCCTCGTGTGGAAAAGCTTCTCGTTGACATCAATTTGCCAAGTGATTTTTTCCAACTCTTCAATTCTAAGTAAGGGATTGCAAAAATTTTGTGACAACCCTAATGTTAATGTTTATATGTTTATCCCACATCGATTAGGATAGAAAATTTTACTACTCTCTTGTATTATAAATCAACCTCCTAATGTATATGGTAAAGTTCACAAAAGTAATATATATTTAATATTTATTTTTTTTCTCTTATTTCACTTGGTATCAAAGCGTATGCTAGTGAGTCCTCTGGTCAAGGATAGTAAGTTTTGTAGTTGTCCTGCAAGGGATTCTTCATATCAAAACTCTTGAGGCTTTTCTCTTTTGGGCTATCCTCAAATAACATCATCCAATTATTCTCCAAAGCTGTTCCAGATATCCTCCGACACTAAAGTAGGGCATCACTCCAGCGATCTCCGATGCCGTTCCAATTGTCCTCCGTCGACTTTTCGATCACCTCCAGCCATCTTCTAATGATCTTTCGGTTGCCCTCCGGCAATGCTCTGACCTACCCTTGTTATCGAGGACGACATTTCGGTCGTTCTCTGGCGATCTTTCGTTCACCTTCAGCCATCCTCTGATGACCTCCAGTTGTCGTCAACAACTTTTCGGTCACCCTCCGATGACATTCTGATTTGCTGCGACCATCCTCTAATGACCTTCTGGTCCTCTTCTTACAACGTTCTAACCTATCCCGGTTACCTTCCTTCGACGTTTCAATCGTCCTTCGTCAATGTTGCAATCGCCTATCAACCATCATCTGGTGACCTCCGATGATGTTTGGATTGTCTCCCAACCATCCTCTGGTGACCTCCAACTGTCCTCCGACAACCTTCTGATCGCCCTTTAGTGACATTCTAGCCTGCCACGGCCATCCTCCGACAACTTTCTAGCTACCCTCCTACGATGTTTTGACCTACCCCAACCATCTTTTGGGTATCCTCCGACAACGTTCTAGTTGCCCTCGGGCGATGTTCCGATCACCTCTTGGCCATCCTCTATGGACCACCAGGTATCCTTCGACAACTTTTTGGTCTTTTTTTGACGACATTCCGACCTACCCTGGTTGTCCTCTGGTGACCTTTCAATCATCCTCCTGTGACATCCTAATCTATTCCTAACCATCCTCTGAAAAAGTTCCAATCTGTTCCAACCATCTTCTTATGACGTTTCAACCTGCTTTAGCCATCCTTTAGCGAGGCTCTAACCTGTTCTGACCATCCTTCGACGAGATTCTGATCTGCTCTGCCATCTACTGATGATGTTCCAACCTGCTCTGGCCATTTTTCGGTGACGTTTCGATTTGCTCTGACCATCATCCTCCGACGTCTCGATATGTTTCGATCATCTTTTGGCGACATTCTGATATGTTCTTTCCATCCTCCAACGACTCTCTGATCTTTATTTTGACAACCATAGTGCTATTGCTCGCAATGATGTCTGAGTGCATAACATGAATCAAGATCGATTGTCATTATGTGCATCATCACCTACAGGAAGGCAATCTTTATCTTTTTTTGGTTGCTTCAGCTAATCAGTTAGCTGATATCTTCACAAAGGTTGATTCACCTGGTCGCCATCATGATTTAGTTTGCAAACTCCAATTGGCACCTTCGATCTCACCTTGAATTTGAGGGAGAATGTTAATGTTTTATATGTTTATATATTTGTTCCACTTCGGTTAGACTAGAAATCTCACTACTCTCTTGTACTATAAATCAACCTCATCATGTATATGGTTGAGTACAGCACAACAATATACATTTAATATTCATTTTCTATTATCTTATTTCACACCTGAACACCCCCCCACCACACGAAGAGTAGATAGTGCATCATGTATTAATATTTATAGTACTCATGAATATCAGCTAATTAAAAAAAAATGATTCATCAATTAGAAGGAATGAAGTTTTAGTGAAATATTATGACTAGTTTTTTTAGTTTTAGGATACCGAGTCCAATCCTCGCAAGTCACTTAACGACCCCTTTTCTCCTCCTCAAGAATACGCTAGACACAACAAAATATGCAAAAAGATAAATTAGTGCAAAAGTTTCTTTCATTATAGAATTTGAAGAGGGTCAAACATAATTAGCTTACCTCGCATAAAAAAAAAGTACTTCTATGATTTAGACCCGTGATGTTTAATCATAATAAAGATACATAAAAAAAAAAAAAAGAAGGAGAAACTACCTAAAAATATTATTAACAAAACCAAGAGTAAGATCTCATTCAGTACATTTCTCCTCCATTTTTGTTCTTAATAGTTCATAAACCATAAATCCAAGTTTATGTAAGACACATTCTATATAATTGAATCTCTCATCAACATATGATCAGCAATTTATCAAAAAAATAAAGAAAAAAATATTCGAATAAATCTGAATCCATAATAAAGATTCTCGTGAAAAGTTATGTCGAGTTTTGGACTTTTGACTCTTCTCTTAAAATTTTATGGGAGTATTTAATTAGCTTTGGTACAACCACTTTGGCAAGGTCACAAGAACCTTGAAGTAGTATGGTTTCATGGGACTATCTACATATTTTGGCTAACAAATAATATTAGGCATCAGAAACCACATGGTTTAATATTGTGGTTAAGCTGGCTCCAAAAAATAAATAAAATAAATATGGTAGTTGAGCTTTCATTATATAACCAGTTTTAAAAAAAAAATTCACTATTTATTTGTAAGAAGAGCACAGCCAAACAAGATTCTCCAGTTTTCATGTCTCTAGTTTCATTAAAAGTTCATCTATTAAGCAAATCTTGACAAAGAGTGGGACCATTTAAGCATAATATATAAACTAGCATATTTATTGCAACTATTTTTTTTTACAAAAATACTAATTTCAAACTTAATTACCAAATTAACTATTGTTCGTTCAATGAAAGCATATTTCCGATACACATTTCTATGTAAACACAACACTTAAAAGTGTGTTTGCAAGACACGACTTTACATTGAAAATCGTGTTTCAAAAACGCCCATTGCTTTCATTGAAATAATGGTAATATAGTAAATAAATTTGAAATTATTTTTGTTAAAAAAATTACAAAACTACCATAAACCAGTAAAAAATTCTAAACTCGCATATCTTGAATTTCAGCCTTCCTAAATAACTAAACTTGCATTCGAGATTGCCATAAATTTTAAAAATGTACAATTTGGATGATTTTCTTTGAAAAAATTTACATCATTGCATGGAATTCAAATAGCTAGTTCCTAGTCTACATTGCAATAGTTGAAATAAAAAAGTCATGGTTAGGAAACCTATACCATTTAAGAAAATTCAAAATTTAATGCTAGACATAGTAATGTAAGAAAAAGGATAAGTTAATGCACGAGTCTTCCATCGTTGCAAGATGGGGAGAGGGTCAAATATAAGTAACTTACCCCACATACAAAGATATTATTTCCATATTTTCCATGATATTTGATCATAATAAAGATACATTAAAAAAATAGGAGTAAAGTAACTAAAAATACTATGAACAAAACCATGGAATGAGATCTCATTTGGTATATCTCTCCTTCGTTTTTGTTCTTAATAGTTCATTTACCAAATTTCATGTAGGACCCATTAATCATCGATTTATCAAAAAATATAGAAAAAAAAATATTAAAATGAATCTGAATCCACTATAAAGACCGTCTATGAAAAGGAGTGTCGTTAGTGCGCCAAACTATTCATTACTTTCCACATATTTTTTGAATTTGCAAAAAGTTGTTGTATGAAAACATATTTTTTAGTTAACAACGATGAGTTTTGAATTTTTGACTCTTCTCTTCTCTTAAGATTCTATGCAAGTAGTTAAATAAGTTTGGTACAACAACTTTAGCAAGATCACAAGAACCTTAAAAGTATAATTTCATGGGACCATCTACATATTTTGGCCAACATTAACTAGGCATAAGAAACCACATGGTTCAATATAGTGGTTGAGCTTTCATTATATAAACCAGTTTTGAAAATAAAAAGCTTTCATCTTATATTATTTTTTTGAGGGCAATCAAAAAAGATTTTCTAGATTTTAAATCTTTATTCTCTAGGTTTCATGTATTGTTTAACAAGTTTGTGTTACGTTTTGTTGGGGTCATGTTGATTTGTCGATTTGAGGGGTCAAATAATTTCATTTATTTATCGTCAAATCAACTAATGTTAGACTTAAATACATTTATAACATATCAATTTTTTATTGATTTATAATTATACCTAAAATTACAAGACTAATTACCTAAAATTACAAGACTAATTAAATCGGGGGTGTTAAGATTATTTTAATTGAATTTTAAAAGAAATAAAAAAATAAAGAACCCCAGAAGGTATCTTAACGAGGCATGCCTAGGGCCGGCCCTTCGTTAAACGAAGCCGAACAAAGGTGGGATCATGACAAAGGATTTGTTTATAAGCCACATGTCATGCGCCGTGCTTGAATATAAGAATCCATCGAGACTACCGGCTCTAGGCCAGGTGCAAGGATCGCCATACCGAGCAATGCTATCGAAATTTAAATTATTGACCAAACTTGTTGACCTAATTCACTATAATCTTTGAATTGACTGTAAGTTCTATCAAATATTAGAATTTGGTGTTAATCCAATGGTTTCAATGAAGCCACGTCATTAGATCAGCAAAATATGTCAAATTTTTAGGTCCAAATAATATTTTTCTCAAACCAATATACAAATTCCTAATCCAGGTGGTTATAAGTAAATTTTCTGAAAATTTAATAAAATTGAAGTGACGTCCAGATACAATTCTTTCAAATTTTATTTGAATAAAGTTGTTCAAATGAGAATAGATATTTAGATTAGATTTCTAGTTTTACTAGATATGAATATGAATTGTAAAAGTGAAATTCTTCGAATAATCGGAAAAGAATTCGGGTTGCATTTTTTTTTTTAAATCCGACCCTTTAAGATACCTAGCTGCATCAAGCCATTGAACAAATTGTTACTCTGCATGGAATTCAATTTTGTTTTGGTTCAAAGTCTACATTGTAGTTGTTTAGAATAAAAGTTCAAGGTCAAAACACACAATACCATGGAAGAAAATTCAGAATTGAATGATGATGGGAACTAAAAATCGGATTTTTATTCAATATGAAAGTTTTTTAATTGATTTTTGTGGAGGTTGAGATTAAACTTTTATTCTCTATTTAATCGAAAGAAGACGGTCAAACAAGATTTTCTAGGGTTACAAATCTCTATTTTCATTAAAAGTTCCCTAAACAAAAGTTGGACCAACGGAAAATATTTGTTTGTGGGGCACGGCGTGTTTGACACAAAAATTGTAGCTGCATCAATCAAGCCCCTAACCAAATTGTTTCTTTGCAAATTGGCACCAATTGATTCGGCGGTTGAATTAAAGACATAACATAAATTCACACGTCCTAATTTTGAATTCTTCTGATTGAATAAAACTTGAATATAACAAGTGTGTGAGACGTTTGTAATGTGATTGCATCTTGATTTCGAGTTTTGTTGATTGAATAAAAATTCAAATCTAACAAATGTGCATGATTTTTGCAATGTGATTACATCCTAATGCCTGAGTTCTTTTTAATAGGGTTAGTAACACTTTTGATCCTTAAATTTTATACGTTTTGTCAATTTAGGCATCAATGTACGAATTTTGACAATTTGGTCCATAAAACATTCAATTCGTGTTTAAATGGACCTTAGTCAGACAGTTCGTAAATTTTTTTATGAAAGTGATCATGTGTCATTCTTTCAGATCAGTTTCGTTACAAACTTAACAAACCGTTTGTGTAGAGACTATTTACACATGAACTCAATATTTTAGGATGATTTATCAAAAAAATAAAAAATGTTTCATTGCATTGGAATTCAAACAGCTCTTGGTTCCAAGTCTACATTGCAATAGTTTGGAATTATGGATAGGAAACATCTACCACGAAGGAAAATTCAGAATCCAATGAAAATGAGCAAGTTTGTTTTGTTGACTACTAGAGCCCATGGTGACGGCCTTAAGACTTCTGTTACGGTCCTCATAATAAAGTTCAAACCAAAACCAACTTACTGGAAATTATCGCAATAAGTCATGTTGTATTAAAGTTCATATCGTGGAAATTAAATCATGTCAAAATTTGTCCTATACATATCTGAACCATTTATACTCCTGTATAAACCAAGATTCATCTCGTATAACGTATAAGTCATGTTTAATAAAGGTATTAAACCAAATCTGAATCAAGATCCTATACATGACTATTATTTGCTCCTAGGATGTGAAAAAAATAGGAACTCAACGTCCAAAAGAGAGTTGTCTCTAAAGGGCATGGAAGAGCAATCAGTCTTGATGGTTTGGAAAATGCATTAGTATGATCTACAAAAACAATTTAACATTTACATTCTGTGGGACAAAAATCAAAACTAATCAATACTTTTATTTGTTTTGATTTTGATTAATTTTGATTTCCTGTTCCCTATGACATTTTGCTAACATATGATTTGTTTTTGTCTTTCTGTCCAGAATGTACAAGAAATTTAGTGGATTGGAACAAATCTCTAGTGAAGGAAACAGATGAAAAAGGATGTAGTCCACTCCATTATGAAGCATTGTTTGGATCTACATTTGTAGATAATTCAATTGCACATATATTCTCCCATTAGATATGGATAATTCTATTGCTTCACAACTATTAGTTGCGGATAGTTCTGTTGTATATCTTGTAGACAATGACAAAAATATAGCTCTTCATATAGTAGTTAGCACATGCAATTATTTTGTAGTTGTATACCTCATATTACGGTGTTCAGATTGTCGTGAAATGGTGAATGGTAAAAGACAATATTATTCACATCGCACTAGAGCATGAAGATGAGAACATGGTACAATGCTTTTTAGATACCTTCAGAGGAACCTGCAACGATCTTGTAACACAGAAAGACGTAGATGGCAACACAACTCTCCATTTGATGGCTGCTTCCAATCTCAAAATGCCTCAACTCATAAATCATTTTATGGCAGATAAGGCGGCCTTAAACAAGCAAAATTGCACTCCCCTAGACATGGCACCTAGAAAACATGGTGATTTATGGGTAAGAATGTAATGTCAAACCTTTTTCTTATGTTTAAGGAGTTATGATGGTGATTTATGTCATTCAATTAATAAAAAGAACAAGGATAAATTTACACTAATGTTGGTTTTCGAAGTATGTGTTCAATTTCACTTTAATCTCTTAATTTTTTAATTTTATAGTTCTAGCTCTTAAATTTTTTAATCTATTTTTAAATGCTCCTATTGCTCAATTTTGTCCAAATATAATTGTTTTTTAAAAAAACTTCTAGGACTAAAATCACTGAATTAAAAGTTGAGGGACTAAAGCAAGAGTATGTGCATACTTCACAGCCACCAACATAGTTTACCCAAATTAAAAAAAAAAAAAAAAAAAAGGAAGAGTTTAATCTCTAGTGATCAAGGGATTGGTCTATCTTTTGCTAAAGCTGCATAGATATCCTCCCACAACATGGGGGTTCTACCCATCTTCCCTAATTTTTCATGGGACAAGAATATCCCATGACTCCCATTTATCTTGATGTACTGTATTTATGGGTGTTAATCGAATCGATTTTTGTAAGCTTGAGTTTTAGTCTGTCGAGCTCGTATTCTAAGCGAGCTGAACTTAAACAATTTTTTAGGCTCATTTTAAGCGAGACCGAGTAACTCAACTATTTTACATATAAATAAGTCGAGCCTTTTAAAACGAGCTTAAAAAATTATTTAAATTCAGCTCGTTTAAAATACGAGTCAAGCACGAACTGTGGCCTATTCGAACCGAGTCGAAATAACTTATCTTGATTAGCACCCTAACTCTATTATAGTGAAGGGTACTTAGGTCATGATTCAAGTTCAGACATAGGCTGAGTATTGCTTTTTTTCTTCCCCTTTTTTTTTTTTTTGACAAGAATCAATGGATAATTCATTTGATTCATAGGAAACTTACATCATTATGGTTGAGAAGTAATAAGAAATTCGATGCCTTGTTTCTCCAACTATATAAAATCATCACAACTGACAAGTGTTTTTTCGTTTTTGTAATATGTAATTTTATCAGATGGCACTCAGCAGAGCTGGGAGTACTTCGAGCTTTCAAAAAGTGATGAGCTGCCGTCAAAGCGAGATAAAGAAAGTTACCGTAGAGAAAGATTTGTTAGCTCAAGAGAAGGAAAAACTAGCAGAGATGAGGAAAACATTTGACACCAATATGATAGTGGCTGCAGTTATAGCCACCGTACCGTTTACGGCTGGATTCACCATGCCTGGTGGCTACAACGAAAGTGGCACTCAAAATCCAGTCCCAGGAATGGCACTGCTATCACAAAAAATCTGCTTTTCAAGCATTTATGGTATCAGATGCTATAGCCCTTTTACTCTCTTGTGTACCTATATTTCACAACTTTTGGGGGGGCATGGATAGAGAAGTTTTACATTTTTGAGAAATATGCCTATGCCACTATGTATCTAATTACTGCAGCCATTTTAGCGATGATGGTTGCATTTAGTACAACAACTTATGTGGTGTTGGAACAATCATTGACCCTCGCAATCACCACCTGCGTTGTTGGTGTCATCTCTATACTCATTTCTTTTTTATTGCGTTGTAAATTTATGTGGTAAGAATAGTTTTTTTTTGGCCCCTTGAAAGAGTTTTTTACCATAAAAATGGTCATCTTTATATATATTGCAATTTTTTTATTCTTTTTTTAATTTATTACTTTTTGTCTAAAAAGTAGTGTTAATTATATGTTTTCTCTAATATCAATCAAAATATAGCAATGCCAATTGAGTTTGTTCAAGTTAGTGCCCGTGTACAAATATCCTAGACAAGAAAATAGTAATATATTACACGATTGTGTAGTTATTTGGTATTTCCAAAACTCTTATTACCCTAACCAAATTGTTTGGAAATTGTCAATGGCAAAGGACAAGATATGCTTCACCACTAATACTATTAGAACACAACTTGAAGACTTAATACATTATCAGTTTTGGATTGATAGTGATGTGCATTCAAAATTAGGATTCTAAAAAACTATGCCATAAAAGAACCAAGAAATATAATCTTCAGCTAACAGCAAACACCATTTCTAGAATTCTTTAAGAAGGGCATCCACTTCTTTTGTAAAGAAAAAGAGCATCTACGACTAATAGAAAAGGTTCACAAAGAGTTCAGTCACAAAACAACAACACTGAGCGCAGAAATTTACCCCATAAACTAGCTAGATTTCATACAGTTGAAGACTAAGCACAATGAGACATCAAATGTTTACACAAAATGTCCTACATTAACGCATAAGAACCACCACCAAGGGCCGAATATGAAGGTAACATTTTAAGAAACGGGCCCAAGAAAATCCCCCTCCAAGCTAACAACTGCTTGCAATTCCCTCTGAGCCTCTATATACTTTTCCCCAATCACAATGAAACGCACCACCACATCTTTCTCAATTTTCGGCATCTTTTCATTCATGAAGATGGGATTTTCCCCAGGCACATACTCATATCCGGGCATTTTCTTATTGGAGAGATAAATGTTCTCGATAGGCCCACATCTCAAAAAAACTCCGTGCTTCAAAATCTTGTGTACAACTCCCTCCAAGATTTCTCCCCTGTAAATCCTGAAGGTGATGCAGCTGAAGACAACAGGAAAGAGTACATCCCCTGAGTTTTGTCTAACCTTCCCTTCCCCAATGCTCTCTAATGTTGTCACCGCAAGACAATAACCAAGATCTTTCGTGGCCTTCTTGATCGAGAACCCATCCATCAGACGAATGATGATTGCCCGTTGAAGCATCAACCCTTTAGCATCCAAGTTTTCAGCAGGAATTATGATTTTCCATGGCAACTGTACTTCTCATTTGTCGATGTGGTACAAAAATAAAAGGTATTGGTTTGTCTTTGTCTTTGAACTTCTCCTCATCTCCCCTCCTTTGTCTTTAAACTATTACTTTATTATTATTTTTTGTATTAATTTCTTTACTTCTTTTTTTTCGGGTAATTTTTTAAAATAATTATTAATTTATTTTTATATTAATTTTATTTAAACAGGTAAACTTGTGATAAAAGGTTTGACAAGTCTCACCAAAACACGACTCATTTGTTAAACGTGTCTCGCGAATCAACTCATTTACTACTCAAACCTATTAAGATCTCACCAAACCCACTTAATTCGTGTCGTGTCGAATTTTGACAGGCCAAATATAAACCAATTTTGAAAATAAAAAGCTTTTATCTTATATTAATTTTTTGAGAGCAATCAAAAGATTCTTTGGGTTTGAAATCTCTATTCTCTATGTTTCATGTATAGTTTAACAAGTTTGTGCAGCGTTTCGTTGGGAGTCATGTTAATATGTCGGTTTGAGAGTCTGAATACTTTCATTCATTTATCGTCAAATCTGTTAAGGATAGATTCAAACTCATTAATATTGTGTCAATTTTTTATTCGTTTATAATTGTACGTAAAATTACAAGACTAATTAAAATTGGGGGCGTTAAGATTATTTTAATTAAATTTAAAAAAAAATTAAAGAATTCCAAACATAGCTATTAAATTGCAGGCCCTAGGCGACGGTCTTACTAAGGCATGCCTAGGGCCGGCCATACGTTAAACTAAGCCGAACAAAAGTGGACCATGACAAAGGATTTGTTTATAAACCACACATCTCATGCACCCGAACTTGAATATAAGAATCCACCGAGACTATTGGTTCTGGGCCAGGTGCAAGGATATGGATATGAATATGAATTGTAAAAGTGAAATTCGTTGAATAATCGGAAAAGAATTTGGGTTACATTTTTGAAATCCGACCCGTTAAGATACCTAGCTGCATCAAGCCATTGAACAAATTGCTACTCTGCATGGAATTCAATTTTGTTTTGGTTCAAAGTCTACGTTGCAGTTGTTTAGAATAAAAGTTCAAGGTCAAAACACACAATACCATGGAAGAAAATTCAGAATTGAATGATGATAGGAACTAAAAATCAGATTTTTATTCAATATGAAAGTTTTTTATTTGATTTTGTAAGCATCTAGAATTTTAGTTTATAGAAATCCTATCGGTGGCAATGCTGAGGGCGGGATTTGGCATAGTGATAAAGTTACTCTATTTTGACATACACTTTAGAAACTTGGCGTGCAGAAACACACCCAAAGGTAAAGTTGTGTACCTTGAACTCCCTAAACCTTACAATAGTAGAAATCTCGTATATTAGATTGTCCTTTAATTTGGTTTGATTAAGAAAAAATTGCTCCATAGCAAATCGGTACTAATTGATTCAGCGGTGAAATTAAAGATATAACATAAATTTACACGCTTTGATTTTGAATGTTTCATGATTAAACAAAACATGAATCTAACAAAAAGTGTTTGTGATTGAATAAAACAGAAGCAATGTTATGCTTACCAAATCATTTACCAAATATTTTGAATCCCAAATTAGTGTGGGTGATTGAATTAGTGGAGTCCACCAACTCTACCAAATATTCAATGTATAGGATTTTGTCCCATTGCATAGTTTCCAATATTTCAGTATTGCAAGGAGAACTGGCAATAGGGTGACACACTAGTTTGCTAGGATGCAAATTTTATTGATAACTCTGATGTAAGAGAGGAGGAGGCATTTGATTTCATCATACCCCATGTTTCTAATTAATCGAATACTTATCGTTTCTTTCAAAAAAAAAAAAAAAAGGGTACTAATTTATTCAACAGCTGAATTAAAGACATAACATAAATTCACCCGTCCTATTTTGAATTCTCGTGATTGAATAAAACTTGAATCTAATAAAAAGTGTGTGACGTTTGCAATGCGATTACATCCTGGTTTCGAGTTTTGTTGATTGAATAAAACTTTTGAATCTACCAAATGTGCATGATTTTGGCAACGTGATTATCTCTTGTTTTTGAGTTTTTTTTAACAGGTTAATAGAACTTTTTGTCTCTAAAAATATAAGCGATTTGCCAATTTATTCCTTAATGCATAAATTTTGCCAATTCGATCTCTAAAATATTTAATTCGTATTTAAATGAACCATAACCAAACCATCCATAAGTTCTTTGACGGAAATGACAATCATGTGTTATTCTTTTAAACAGTATCACGTGACTAACACATGATCACTTCCGTCAAAAATTTAGCAAACCAAATGTGCAGAGACCATTTACATGCTAACTCAATATTTTAAAGATTAAATTGACAAAATTAATAAAATGAGAACCAAGCTGACAAAACATACATATTTTAGGGACCAAATGTGCATGATTTTGGTAATGTGATTAATTAACATCCGAGATTGCCATAAATCTAGAACTCGTATGGTTAGGATGATTTATCAAAAAAATAAAAAATGTTTCATTGCATTGGAATTCAAACAGCTCTTGGTTCCAAGTCTACATTGCAATAGTTTGAATTATGGATTAGATAGGAAACATCTACCATGAAAGAAAATTCAGAATCCAATGAAAATGAGCAAGTTTGTTTTGTTGACTACTAGAGCCCATGGTAACGGCCTCAATACATCTGTTACGGTCCTCATAATAAAGTTCAAACCAACTTACTGGAAATTATCGCAATAAGTCATGTTGTATTAAAGTTCATATCGTGGTTAGGTTATATTAAATCATGTAAAAACTTGTCCTATACATATTTGAACCATTTATACTCCTGTATAAACCAAGATTCATCTCATGTACAACTCGTATAACGTATAAGTCATGTTTAATAAATTTATGTCGACCCATTTATTAATGGGTGTAAATAGGGGTGTTTAAATTTTCGATTACCTTACCCTAATCTACCTTACCCGACTCTATTGAACGGCTAACCGAAAAATTGGGTAGGAATGGGTGGATAACTTCCACCGTATAAGTTATCCACCCATTTCTTGAGTCCACTCATTTATCACCGAACCTGCTAAGACTAAACCTTAAACCTACTAATTTGTGTAAATTTTGTATCGAAGTCGCTGATCGTGTCTAAGATTGTCTAAGTCTAATACTTCAAAGTCCAAAATTTTCATCCTTGATGTACCCCCATTCTTTTGATTTGTGCTTCCGGAGTTTGTATTGGTACAATGAGTTCAAAAAAAAAGTCCTTGGTTTGAACATTCTTTTTTAAGTAAAAATATCTATAATATAAAACATAGTGGACTTCAACAAGTCGATCGAACGATCACAGTTCATTTCATCCAACGATCATTAATACTTATTTCATTTCCCCCTAAATTCATCGATTTTCACTCATACTATTTTTCAAAAACAGACCAACATCAATCACTTCGTCTATCAGATGCCGCCTCTCCTACATTTCTTTTCTTTTTTTTTCCCATCAAAATCAGGCCTCTCTCTTTTTTTTTTCTTCATTGTTTTTTCTTCTTCTCTTTTTTCCTCCGTCAATCCTCTCTCTCTATTACACCCCAACAACACCACCACTACCAGCGCCACTTCGTTAGCAACACCACCACCACTACCAGCGTCACTTCGTTAGCAACACCACCACCACTGCCGCCACTGCTAACCCCTCCCAGGTATCCCTCATCTCTCTATCTCTCTCTCACACACACACACACAAAAACACACACACTAACCCCAATCCTACTCCCACCTCTTCTCTGCCCTTTCTACGCAACACCACCCCCACCCTACCCCCTATCTCTTCGGTGCTCTCTCTCTCACACACACACATCTTAGCTTTGCTTTGCAGCAAACTCTTGGATGTTTTCTGTGAGGTATCCAACAGTTACATGGTGGTGGAGAGCTGTGAGTAGATATTACGGAGGATCTCCCTCAATTTTACAATATGCGTTGATCTATCAATGTCACTGTTGCCAAGCACAAAGATGCCCCTCACTTTTTTTGGCCAAATGGTGCAGATCTTTATCAAAGCTTCAATCCCACACACGTCCACCCAGCATCTCCACCACCAACCATAGACACCACATGTTTGACAAAAGTTCTCAGAGAATTTTTGCTCAATTTCTTCCATACTATTTTTCAAAATCATATATGAGTGTCTAATACTCGCCATTTTGAATTTAGCTTTGTATGTTATTTCGGTCTTTCTTAAAACACTCTATTTCTGTCTACCTTTTGCCACAATAGTTTTGTGAAAATCTCAGGTATACCAGGCTCTATTTTATATATATACACTTTTCGTTGTTGTAAAGCAGCTTTATTGAGCATTTGTTCCTTTTTATTCTTCTCTTTTTTCTTTAGGTGTGGACAACTTCTAATTGGAATGCCGAATACGGAGTTTTCTTATTATTAAGCAGTAATCCAAGGATACTAATATGCCTTTTATTTTCATCAGAAGTTTTATATGATTGGACGGAACAAGAACAGAACCATTTGGAGAGTATTGAAGATTGACAGGTCTGAGCCTTTAGAACTAGACATTATTGAGGATTCAACGACATATCTTATGTTGTTATCTGCATATTAACCTTCAGTCAAGGGATCAATTCACCATGGGGGATAGGAGAATCTTTGTTCAGGTTAGTTCAAGCAATAACCCAAGTTGTAATTTTTGTTCTTATTTCTCATCCTTTGTCCCTTAGAATATATTGGGTTGAAAATTTTATTGTTCTGTGCTTATTCTCTGTTAGGGCTATCTTTCGGCTGAGCAATATATTTCTTTATCTATATTTTGATTTGGTTTGAACTTAGTTGTGATAATTTATCCAGGCTGAAAATTGAGTTTGATTAAATTGGATTTGGGGGCAAGGGTAGTAGATATGGTATGGGGATGGATCCATGTATTAGATGTATGGGTCAAAACCTTTAATTATGTATGTCTTCACGGACATACGTGGAAGTGTAAAAAATTTGGAGGGGCGGAATCTTTATAAAAGGGGAAATGCTATTTGGATCTTAAACGTATAATAAGTCTGATTTTTTTGGATCTCGCTTCTATTTGTTTTCCTGGGCATCTATATATAGATCAGTGTGACTTTGGGTATATTCTAATTAGTTTGGCTATATAATTTCCTTGTTATGACGCACTTCAGTGATCTGCTTGAATATTTGGCTATTTGTTCCAGTATACGTGTTATTCTACATACCAGTGGGAATTTTTTTTGAAAAAATGATTGGTAGTGGCGCTTGAGTTCTGGGTTTCCAGAATAGCAGAGTTTTTACTTGAAATGTCTGTTGTAGAATTCACAATGTGCCTCAAAGTTATCATGGGTGTCAAGGAACTGGGGAGAAGACAATTGCAAGCTTTTAATGATATTAGGTTTGGACAGAACCAAGTAAAACAGTGATTCTAGCATCACCCTTTGGTTTTTCAAGGGAACCCGACCTTTAGGCAGTGTATGGACGACTCCAGCAGTGAGACAAATGGTTAGCAGTAGCTCCATTTCCCAGCTTGTTTCTTGAGCAAATCTTGATTTTTGTCATCATCGTTAGCTCTACTACAAATCGTATTCTCTTCCTGGGGGATCAAGTTTAAAATACTTTACCATTATGTCAAATGTTAGAGAATTTGTTCAATTGAGTAACTGGTGCTGTACAAATT